GGGTTAAGGTACCTTCAGGCTGCGATACATGGGAGCCATGCGGGTTGGCGCTGACAGGCCTCCCTATGGGACTTACTGCACAAAAGCGAAAGAAGGGGCATCCGCTGCTACTTCTGGATTTTCTCCAAAAGTTTCGGGTCTATCGACCTGCCGATTTGCATGCGGGTTGCCCATTCATCCGCTTCAAAATGGTACCGAGTTTGTCCAGATCCATCCAGGTTAAGGTACCTTCAGGCTGCGATACATGGGAGCCATGCGGGTTGGCGCTGACAGGCCTCCCTATGGGACTTACTGCACAAAGCGAAAGAAGGGGCATCCGCTGCTACTTCTGGGATTTTCTCCAAAAGTTTCGGGTCTATCGACCTGCCGATTTGCATGCGGGTTGGCCCATTCATCCGCTTCAAAATGGTACGAGTTTGTCCAGATCCATCCAGGTTAAGGTACCTTCAGGCTGCGATACATGGGAGCCATGCGGGTTGGCGCTGACAGGCCTCCCTATGGGACTTACTGCACAAAAGCGAAAGAAGGGGCATCCGCTGCTACTTCTGGGATTTTCTCCAAAAGTTTCGGGTCTATCGACTGCCGATTTGCATGCGGGTTGGCCCATTCATCCGCTTCAAAATGGTACCGAGTTTGTCCAGATCCATCCAGGTTAAGGTACCTTCAGGCTGCGATACATGGGAGCCATGCGGGTTGGCGCTGACAGGCCTCCCTATGGGACTTACTGCACAAAAGCGAAAGAAGGGGCATCCGCTGCTACTTCTGGGATTTTCTCCAAAAGTTTCGGGTCTATCGACCTGCCGATTTGCATGCGGGTTGGCCCATTCATCCGCTTCAAAATGGTACCGAGTTTGTCCAGATCCATCCAGGTTAAGGTACCTTCAGGCTGCGATACATGGGAGCCATGGCGGGTTGGCGCTGACAGGCCTCCCTATGGACTTACTGCACAAAAGCGAAAGAAGGGGCATCCGCTGCTACTTCTGGATTTTCTCCAAAAGTTTCGGGTCTATCGACCTGCCGATTTGCATGCGGGTTGGCCCATTCATCCGCTTCAAAATGGTACCGAGTTTGTCCAGATCCATCCAGGTTAAGGTACCTTCAGGCTGCGATACATGGGAGCCATGCGGGTTGGCGCTGACAGGCCTCCCTATGGGACTTACTGCACAAAAGCGAAAGAAGGGGCATCCGCTGCTACTTCTGGATTTTCTCCAAAAGTTTCGGGTCTATCGACCTGCCGATTTGCATGCGGTTGGCCCATTCATCCGCTTCAAAATGGTACCGAGTTTGTCCAGATCCATCCAGGTTAAGGTACCTTCAGGCTGCGATACATGGGAGCCATGCGGGTTGGCGCTGACAGGCCTCCCTATGGGACTTACTGCACAAAAGCGAAAGAAGGGGCATCCGCTGCTACTTCTGGGATTTTCTCCAAAAGTTTCGGGTCTATCGACCTGCCGATTTGCATGCGGGTTGGCCCATTCATCCGCTTCAAAATGGTACCGAGTTTGTCCAGATCCATCCAGGTTAAGGTACCTTCAGGCTGCGATACATGGGAGCCATGCGGGTTGGCGCTGACAGGCCTCCCTATGGGACTTACTGCACAAAAGCGAAAGAAGGGGCATCCGCTGCTACTTCTGGGATTTTCTCCAAAAGTTTCGGGTCTATCGACCTGCCGATTTGCATGCGGGTTGGCCCATTCATCCGCTTCAAAATGGTACCGAGTTTGTCCAGATCCATCCAGGTTAAGGTACCTTCAGGCTGCGATACATGGGAGCCAGGCGGGTTGGCGCTGACAGGCCTCCCTATGGGACTTACTGCACAAAGCGAAAGAAGGGGCATCCGCTGCTACTTCTGGGATTTTCTCCAAAAGTTTCGGGTCTATCGACCTGCCGATTTGCATGCGGGTTGGCCCATTCATCCGCTTCAAAATGGTACCGAGTTTGTCCAGATCCATCCAGGTTAAGGTACCTTCAGGCTGCGATACATGGGAGCCATGCGGGTTGGCGCTGACAGGCCTCCCTATGGGACTTACTGCACAAAAGCGAAAGAAGGGGCATCCGCTGCTACTTCTGGGATTTTCTCCAAAAGTTTCGGGTCTATCGACCTGCCGATTTGCATGCGGGTTGGCCCATTCATCCGCTTCAAAATGGTACCGAGTTTGTCCAGATCCATCCAGGTTAAGGTACCTTCAGGCTGCGATACATGGGAGCCATGCGGGTTGGCGCTGACAGGCCTCCCTATGGGACTTACTGCACAAAAGCGAAAGAAGGGCATCCGCTGCTACTTCTGGGATTTTCTCCAAAAGTTTCGGGTCTATCGACCTGCCGATTTGCATGCGGGTTGGCCCATTCATCCGCTTCAAAATGGTACCGAGTTTGTCCAGATCCATCCAGGTTAAGGTACCTTCAGGCTGCGATACATGGGAGCCATGCGGGTTGGCGCTGACAGGCCTCCCTATGGGACTTACTGCACAAAAGCGAAAGAAGGGGCATCCGCTGCTACTTCTGGATTTTCTCCAAAAGTTTCGGGTCTATCGACCTGCCGATTTGCATGCGGGTTGGCCCATTCATCCGCTTCAAAATGGTACCGAGTTTGTCCAGATCCATCCAGGTTAAGGTACCTTCAGGCTGCGATACATGGGAGCCATGCGGGTTGGCGCTGACAGGCCTCCCTATGGGACTTACTGCACAAAAGCGAAAGAAGGGGCATCCGCTGCTACTTCTGGGATTTTCTCCAAAAGTTTCGGGTCTATCGACCTGCCGATTTGCATGCGGGTTGGCCCATTCATCCGCTTCAAAATGGTACCGAGTTTGTCCAGATCCATCCAGGTTAAGGTACCTTCAGGCTGCGATACATGGGAGCCATGCGGGTTGGCGCTGACAGGCCTCCCTATGGGACTTACTGCACAAAAGCGAAAGAAGGGGCATCCGCTGCTACTTCTGGATTTTCTCCAAAAGTTTCGGGTCTATCGACCTGCCGATTTGCATGCGGGTTGGCCCATTCATCCGCTTCAAAATGGTACCGAGTTTGTCCAGATCCATCCAGGTTAAGGTACCTTCAGGCTGCGATACATGGGAGCCATGCGGGTTGGCGCTGACAGGCCTCCCTATGGGACTTACTGCACAAAAGCGAAAGAAGGGGCATCCGCTGCTACTTCTGGGATTTTCTCCAAAAGTTTCGGGTCTATCGACCTGCCGATTTGCATGCGGGTTGGCCCATTCATCCGCTTCAAAATGGTACCGAGTTTGTCCAGATCCATCCAGGTTAAGGTACCTTCAGGCTGCGATACATGGGAGCCATGCGGGTTGGCGCTGACAGGCCTCCCTATGGGACTTACTGCACAAAAGCGAAAGAAGGGCATCCGCTGCTACTTCTGGGATTTTCTCAAAAGTTTCGGGTCTATCGACCTGCCGATTTGCATGCGGGTTGGCCCATTCATCCGCTTCAAAATGGTACCGAGTTTGTCCAGATCCATCCAGGTTAAGGTACCTTCAGGCTGCGATACATGGGAGCCAGGCGGGTTGGCGCTGACAGGCCTCCCTATGGGACTTACTGCACAAAAGCGAAAGAAGGGGCATCCGCTGCTACTTCTGGGATTTTCTCCAAAAGTTTCGGGTCTATCGACCTGCCGATTTGCATGCGGGTTGGCCCATTCATCCGCTTCAAAATGGTACCGAGTTTGTCCAGATCCATCCAGGTTAAGGTACCTTCAGGCTGCGATACATGGGAGCCATGCGGGTTGGCGCTGACAGGCCTCCCTATGGGACTTACTGCACAAAAGCGAAAGAAGGGGCATCCGCTGCTACTTCTGGATTTTCTCCAAAAGTTTCGGGTCTATCGACCTGCCGATTTGCATGCGGGTTGGCCCATTCATCCGCTTCAAAATGGTACCGAGTTTGTCCAGATCCATCCAGGTTAAGGTACCTTCAGGCTGCGATACATGGGAGCCATGCGGGTTGGCGCTGACAGGCCTCCCTATGGGACTTACTGCACAAAAGCGAAAGAAGGGGCATCCGCTGCTACTTCTGGGATTTTCTCCAAAGTTTCGGGTCTATCGACCTGCCGATTTGCATGCGGGTTGGCCCATTCATCCGCTTCAAAATGGTACCGAGTTTGTCCAGATCCATCCAGGTTAAGGTACCTTCAGGCTGCGATACATGGGAGCCATGCGGGTTGGCGCTGACAGGCCTCCCTATGGGACTTACTGCACAAAAGCGAAAGAAGGGGCATCCGCTGCTACTTCTGGGATTTTCTCCAAAAGTTTCGGGTCTATCGACCTGCCGATTTGCATGCGGGTTGGCCCATTCATCCGCTTCAAAATGGTACCGAGTTTGTCCAGATCCATCCAGGTTAAGGTACCTTCAGGCT